GGGACAGGACGGTGCCCTGGGGGACACCGGCCTCCATGGGACGGGTGGTGGAAAGGGAATCTTGGATTTGGATGCGGAATTTTCGGTGGTGTAGGTAGGATTTTATGAGTTTGGTAAAGGATATGGGATATTGGTTGGTGAGCATTTTCATCAGTAGGCCTTCATGCCAAACCGTATCGAAGGCCTTTGCGACGTCCAGGAAGACAGCACCAGTGTACTGTCCCCTGTTGAAGGCCGCCGTGATGTGCTCGGTAAGGCGAAGGATTTGGAGTTCAGTGGAGTGATTGGGTCGGAAGGCGAACTGCTCGTCTGGAATGACTTGCAGTTCTTGGGAGTGGGTTCTTAGACGGGTTAGGATAATTTTTTCTACCACTTTGCTCATAGCCGGGAGCAGGCTAATGGGCCGGTAGTTGGATGGGATGGTGTGATCTTTGTTGGGTTTTGGGATAAGGATTATGTTTGCTGTTTTCCAGCGGGTAGGGAAGTGTCTTAGTCTGAGTGTCGCGTTTGTTATGTTTAGTAGGGCCATGAGGCCCTTGTGTGGTAGTCGTTTAAGTGTCGTGTTATGTATATTGTCGGGTCCGGGGGCTTTTCTGTTTTTAAGTCTGCGTATTGTCAGTCTTAGTTCGTCAGGTGTTGCGGGGGGGATTATGTCATTGTCTGGCTCTCTGTCGACGCGTCGGGCCGCGCGCTCAGCCACTATCTCGAATTCCTCGTCTTCGTCGGGCAGCTGAGGCAGTCTACACTGCAGTTCCAGGCTATCGGCGAAAGCCTCGGCCTTTTCCTGGTTCGTGTAAACCACCCCCACACTACCGTGGATTGGAGGAATTTTACGGCGAGCGGTCTGTCGCAGGGCCCTCTGCGTTTTCCAGAGGCTGTTGTCTTGTGGATCCAGCGACTCCAGGTGCCTAGCCCAGTTATCCTGGGCCAGTTCATCCAGAGCCGCCTTCACCCGTCTGTTAAGTACGTTTAAGTCATGTCTGTGTCGGGGGAGGCGGGTGCGGGTGGCAAGCCGTTTCGCACGTCGTCTGTCACGTATTAAGTTTTTTATGTCATCGGGGAGGGTGCCCCGGGGGTTTGTCAGTCGGGGGACAATAGTCTCCGTCGTAGTCTGAGTCAGGGCGTTTTTAATGTCAGTCTCAAGGGAGAGGATTGCCGCCTCCAGATCATGGGTGGTTTCGATGACTGGGAGCGCCATGTTTCCTTGTATTACTGTTCGGAAACGCTCCCAGTCAGTGAACCTCCTCGTGAAGGTGCCTTCATATCTCTGTCTTCGCCCCAGATCCAGAAATATTGGATTGAGTCAGGGCGTTTTTAATGTCAGTCTCAAGGGAGAGGATTGCCGCCTCCAGATCATGGGTAGTTTCGATGACTGGGAGCGCCATGTTTCCTTGTATTACTGTTCGGAAACGCTCCCAGTCAGTGAACCTCCTCGTGAAGGTGCCTTCATATCTCTGTCTTCGCCCCAGATCCAGAAATATTGGATTGTGGGCGGAAGACCCTTCGTATTGGGTGGATATTTGGGCATTTAACGGTATAGATTTTAAGAGGGCAATGTCGATAACGTCGGGGCGTCCTACGGGTCCGTAATGTGTCGGTTCTGTCGGTCCGAGTATAGTCAAGTCGTCGTGTCTGTCTTGGTAATTCAGCAGGACGCGACCTCTTGTGGTCGTCGTCCCGCTGTGCCATATGGGGGACTTCGCGTTGAAGTCCCCGATGGCAATTGTCTGGGGCCAGGAAAGGATTTTGTCTAAGTCATTGTCAAGTAGTGGTAGTCTGGGTGGGTGGTAACAGGACACCACCGCAACGTCTCCATGCCGTAGCGATCTCACCGCTATCGCCACGGCCTCTGTGTTTTGAGTTTGGAGCCGCTGCAGCGGATAGTGGTCGATGCACTTCTTTACTATGAGTGCAACACCACCCCCGTTACGGTTTCTGTCATGTCTGTATATGTCATAGTCAGGGATGGAGGTACGGGATGCCTCGCTGAGGTAGGTCTCCTGGACAGCCATAACGTCTATGTTTAGACGGTTCAAGATGTCCACGAGTTCCGTTTTTTTGGCCCGGAACCCGTCAAGGTTCCAGGACGAAATTCTCAGCGA